CAAATTCCCTTCACTGGTACCTCCCCTCCACCACACACCTTTTTCTTTAACCCATTGCTCTCAATCGATAATGTTCAACTTTGTTTTCTCGCCAATCACGGTGCCCGTGGTTATAATTGAACCCAACGCTGTCAATACACCAACTGTGGTTCGGTCGTGACAAACGACACCACCCCCCCCATCGCACCCCTAAGTTGTTGGAAAGCCGGCGCCATGTTTAACATAGCGCCCTATTGTCCCAGCAACATGTCTCCATAACCATGGCAACGTCACATTGTCTCGCCCAAAAGTCCTAGACCGAGCGCCCCCCCCCTACGTGGCGCCCCCCCTTCCGTCTCTCTCCCGTTGCACGTGATTGAATTGACGCTTGCATGACTAGATCAAAGGTAACCAAGCCACCAACGTATTGTGCAACAAACATGGCGGCTGATTTCACGTAAACACTGTGAGACAAACAAACCAACCAAAACCCACTTAAACAGTACGTACAAAATACGTTGGCGACTAATAAACGTAAACAACCGATAACAAGCAAATAAACTAAAAATGACACTCAATAAATTATCGTGGGATTAAAAAAAAAAAAAATATTTTTAATTAAACCTTCAGATGGCAGGTTTACTAAAAGACTTGCGAGTTTTTAGTTCATTTTTTTGAAATTATTGTATTCTTTTTCAATGTCAGAGATTAAAAAAAAATAAAAAATAATCAGTAGTGGAACCTCTGTACAAATCTGTTATTTTACCCAACCCTAATTTTTTAATGAATCTTTTCCACTTCCAGCTGAGTTGTGACGTCATTCACAAGACGCAACAAATAAAAAAATTTTTATGATTACCCTGAACATGTATATTCAGAAAATTGCCGGAAATTGCTTTTTCAGAGGAAATATGTGACTACGTTTCACAGGTCTATTAGACATAATCGCGATTGAGTTATTATTATTTTTATGCGACCACTATATGTGAATACTTGTCCAGTGGGACACATTTTGGCCAAACTTCTGAAGTTCCAAGTTATGAAAGTTTAATTAACAGAGTGGTGAACAGAGCTACTAAGAGTTATTTTATTATAAGGTTGTATTTTTTTTCAAGGTGGTCACCGGACAAAACCGGATATGAATAGTCTCCCCTCAATTGATGGCGATTTAAAAAAAAAAAAAATTCGATTGCGCCATCTAAACCATGTCGGGAGCTCTTGGATTGCAAATTGATAGAACAGTCGTTCGAACCACACTAAAAACCAACCCCTTCCTCCCCCCCCCCCCCACACACACACAGGTGATTATTCAGGTACGTTATTTACCAAGATGGCGGCTTTTGAATTAGAGTGACCAGAATAGAATTTCAATGAGGTTTAACATGACGTCATTAACTCACTATATGAGACGGTCAGAGACGCCACAGAGAGTAGTTAACCACGCTATGAGTTTAACCTAATAGTTCACGCAATGACGCTTCAATACACTTAAACGCCACTCAAAAAAAAAAATAAAAAATAAATAGAACAGCAACAGCGCTGACAGCAACAACATTAACAGCTACAACAACAACGCTAACAGGAACAGCGACAGCCGCGACAACAACACTGACGAATGAATTCGGATGTAAGTTGAAATAAATATATTGAAATCATATATTAATATCTTTATGAGAGTTCATGTTGAGTGAGCAAAGTTTCATATCATACAAAAAAAAAAAAAAAAAAGTTGGGGTGTTTTTAGACCCTAGTAGTGGCAACACAATTTAAATTGGGCAATAGTGTAATTGTGTGAGTTCTCGTTTTCTTGGGTGGGGTTAGTTGAGTGAGCAAAGTTTCATATCATAAAAAAAAAAAAAAAAAAAGTTGGGGTGTTTTTAGACCCTAGTAGTGGCAACACAATTTAAATTGGGCAATAGTGTAATTGTGTGAGTTCTCGTTTTCTTGGGTGGGGTTAGTAGCGTGTGTTACCAGTAGGATCATGTTGTCATGTTACAAACTGTTAACATTCTGTCACGTTGCACGCGTTACGATCCGTTTATTTACAAGTTTTACCATTCTGTCACATTAAAAGATTTACCATTCTGTCACATTAAAAGATTTACCATTCTGTCACATTAAAAGATTTACCATTCTGTCACGTTAAAAGATTTACCATTCTGTCACATTAAAAGATTTACCATTCTGTCACATTAAAAGATTTACCATTCTGTCACGTTAAAAGATTTACCATTCTGTCACGTTAAAAGATTTACCATTCTGTCACGTTAAAAGATGTACCATTCTGTCACGTTAAAAGATGTACCATTCTGTCACGTTAAAAGATGTACCATTCATTCACGTTAAAAGATTTACCATTCTGTCACGTTAAAAGATGTACCATTCTGTCACGTTAAAAGATGTACCATTCTGTCACGTTAAAAGATTTACCATTCTGTCACGTTAAAAGATTTACCATTCTGTCACGTTAAAAGATTTACCATTCTGTCAAGTTAAACGTTTTACCATTCTGTCACGTTAAAAGTTTTACCATTCTGTCACGTTAAAAGATTTACCATTCTGTCACGTTAAAAGTTTTACTATTCTTTCACGTTAAAAGTTTTACCATTTTGTCAAGTTAAACGTTTTACCATTCTGTCAAGTTCAAATTTTACCATTCTGTCAAGTTCAAATTTTTACCATTCTGTCAAGTTCAAATTTTTACCATTCTGTCAAGTTAAAAGTTTTACCATTCTGTCACGTTAAAATTTTTACCATTCAGTCGAGTTAAAAGTTTTACTATTCTGTCACGTTAAAAGTTTTACCATTCTGTCATGTTAAAAGATTTACCATTCTGTCACGTTAAAAGTTTTACTATTCTTTCACGTTAAAAGTTTTACCATTTTGTCAAGTTAAACGTTTTACCATTCTGTCAAGTTCAAATTTTTACCATTCTGTCAAGTTCAAATTTTTACCATTCTGTCAAGTTCAAATTTTTACCATTCTGTCAAGTTAAAAGTTTTACCATTCTGTCACGTTAAAATTTTTACCATTCAGTCGAGTTAAAAGTTTTACTATTCTGTCACGTTAAAAGTTTTACCATTCTGTCATGTTAAAAGATTTACCATTCTGTCACGTTAAAAGTTTTACTATTCTTTCACGTTAAAAGTTTTACCATTTTGTCAAGTTAAACGTTTTACCATTCTGTCAAGTTCAAATTTTTACCATTCTGTCAAGTTCAAATTTTTACCATTCTGTCAAGTTCAAATTTTTACCATTCTGTCAAGTTAAAAGTTTTACCATTCTGTCACGTTAAAATTTTTACCATTCAGTCGAGTTAAAAGTTTTACCATTCTGACACTTTATCATTTCTTCAACTGTGCCAAGCTACGAATTTAAACAATTTCGTCATGATACAATATCTACAATTGTACGAATTTTTTCAACATTTCCTCAAGTTACAAGTTGTATAATATTTTCATGTGACAAGCACTCCACTCTTTATCATATTTCAAGATACACAATTTTCATTGGAGTAAGGGGGGGGGGGATATATATTCGTTCACACCATATAACTTTTCTTTACACACAAAGGGTCGTTGAACTCAATGATAAAGACAGCTTCAGATGTTGTGGTCGATTGGTTTTCGTTTTTACGATAAAAATAAACAAACAATTATTTTTAGCTTTTGTTTTCATGGTGTAATCAAACATGTCATGATAAGATTGCTTCTGTTGGAACTTTTCTTTGCCTAGAACCATATCGCCCGTGCAAAGTGTTTTGTTGTTGTTGTTGGTGGTGGTGGTGGTGTTGGTGTTGTTGGTGTTTTATGTCTGTGTTCTCCTGTAACAATGGACAGCATGTGGTCCACGTAGCGGTCCACTGAGAGTGTTAGCATGCTCCTTTCTCTATAGCTAATGACTTAAGTTCTCATGGTTCTTGTCCGTGTTCTGTGGTGAAATGTGTCAGTGTTCCGTGGTGGACCGTCAATGTTCCTTGGTGGACCGTCAATGTTCCTTGGTGGACCGTCAATGTTCCTTGGTGGACCGTCAATGTTCCTTGGTGGACCGTCAATGTTCCTTGGTGGACTGTCAATGTTCCTTGGTGGGTTGTCAATGTTCCTTGGTGAATTGTCATTTTTCTTTGTTCTTTAGTGAATTGTCAACGTTTCGAGGGGACTGGTCAACGTTCCTTTCCGGTGTCTTGTCCACGATTAGCTAACAACATGTTCTGTTACAGTCACACCTGATTTTTTGTTACAAACACAACAGCTATCTGTCATATCGTTGTCGGCCATTATGTTTCAAGACATGTGCTCAATGCAGAGCTACAACACATGTGTAATATTTACTTTAATCCTCATGCTGTGCTGAAATAGCTCACATAACACACGGCTCGAATGAAATCGACTGAGTCTATTAGAAAAAAAAATTATTCTACACGAAGCAGTCACTTCTTTCATTCGGCAATTTGTACATGAATGCAGCTCCTGCAACACCACACCACCCCCCCCCCCCCCCACCTCCCACATAAATACCCATGAAACAAAAATATCCTCATCATTTCATGAAATATCCCATATCAACAAGGTAATTATATCCTAAAAAATGTTTGGCAATTTGTACATGAATGCAGCTCCTGCAACACCACACCACCCTCCCCCCCCCCCACCTCCCACATAAATACCCATGAAACAAAAATATCCTCATCATTTCATGAAATATCCCATATCAACAAGGTAATTATATCCTAAAAAATGTTTTCAGTGTCGATTCACAAGAGTCAGATTGTTTACACAACAACACACTAAGCCATCGAATGAGATCAGGATGGAGAGCAATAAAGAAGAAAAAAGGTGAGGGAGGAGGGGGGGGGGAATATGACGCTCTAAATTAACACAACACCGAGGCTCTAGCTCTCACAAAGTCTACACCCCCCCTTGGGGGCATATGCAGGAGTTAATATTTAAATTAAAAAAAAAAAACAAAAAAAAACAGATAAGTGTTTTTGAGCTCTGAGATGGTTTTCAGCGCGTGCACATCTACAAGTGAGTCAGTTTCGGAATGTACTCGTACTGACTGTAGCCCATGTTCGCGACGGAGCAGTTCATTGGAGAGTTCATGGCCGGATGCTGGCCCATGGAGCCGTGCGCGTGAGTGTGATTGTCCAGTGGATTGATTTCAGAGTACATGCTTCCGGTGACGAGCATATTATTGGAGCCCGGGTAGTGCCGGCCGGGAGGCGGGCCGTACCCGTTGCCGTGGTTCCCCTGGTGGTGTTGCTGGGGCTGGTGATGACGTTGTTGTTGTTGTTGTTGCTGTTGGGGAGGCTGTTGCTGTGTGTTGGGGTGGTAGGGGCTGAGGTTCGGCGGAGGGATGGGGGACGAGTTGTCGTGACCGGATTTGTGTTGCTGGGACTGTTGCTTCATCCCATGCCCAGGGGACATGATGCCCGCGTTCGGACTTTCGGCCTTGATGCCCTGAAGGGCACCAACAGGTTCGTGTTGTGGAAGTCTCATCCCGCTCTGTGGCCGAATTTGACCTTGACCCTGTATACTGCAGGCGGATTCAAGGTCACCGACGGAAGAGGTCGGGGACCCTCCTCTGGGGAGTCTGGAGGAAAGAAAATGGCCGACATCTCCCCCATGACCGGAACTGGGAGACATATGCATTCCGTTAATATCACTCCCCCCAACTCCGCTCTCGCTCTTACCACTCCCGCCCCCACTCCCGTTACCCCCAGCCTTGGCCACCGCGCAGTCGATAATTCCGGGGCTCCTGTCACCTCCGAGTCCCGACATGACGTGGCAGGAGGAGTTTTCGGTGTCACTTCCGGAAAAACTGCCTTCCGATTTGGTGCTGTGCTTGTCCATGGAGTTCTTCCCCCGTTGTTCTTTCTTGAACTTCATGCGCCTGTTCTGGAACCAGATCTTGATCTGCCGCTCCGTGAGGTTGAGCAGCGCGGCCATCTCGATGCGCCGGGGTCGGCACAGGTACCTGTTGAAGTGGAACTCCTTCTCGAGCTCCACGAGCTGGGCGCTGGTGTATGCTGTGCGAGCTCGCTTCGAGGGCTCTATGGGGAAAAAAAGAAAAACACGATAGGTTATTTTTCATTGGTGGAAAGTGTAAAGGCCGTTATTGAAGCTTGATTTAAAACTGAAGTTAACTGAATTTATGCTATGAAAAAATATTCAGTTACTGGAGTGAAAAGAGAACCAAAATGTTATTTTAAAACTACAAAAGGTTACACATAAATATTTCAAACATGTTGAATTATTCAAGCGTGTTGTTTTTGGAGCATGAAAGAACGGGCAAAGAACAACGGACTATTCAAACGAACAAACAAATTCAAACGATCATGATTTTGCCAACACTCACAAGCAAACAATTCAAACTACGAAAACATAAAGCAATTATATTTATGGTCATACGGTGGAGAGACTGCAATCAGGTTAGAAAAAACAGCCATAAGGAAATGAGTAGAATAAAGTATGGGAAAACCTGAAAAGGGGAACACAACAAAACAACGACAGGAAACCTTCGTCGGCAAACAGACAACAGAAAAAAAAAATTACAGAGTTAAATTAAGAAATAGCATTTAGCTGAAAAGTAGTTTCCGAAGGGGCAACGAAAGAAAAGAATATATATTTATATATCTAAGGAACGGGAACAGCATAAATTAAAATCTGGCTCTTTCTGTGCGGTCATTTTTCGTTTCTAACTAATTTTGTGCATAGAGTATGCTATATATTGGTCAATGGATGCACGCTGCTTTCAATAGAAAAGATTAATGAAGGATAAGTTCCGGAAGTCCTCGAAAGGACCCGTAAGCATTTGATGTCAGGTATGGCGTTGCGGGCAGTAGCGGTAGATTGATGGAACTGGAATCATAATGTCATATCTGTCTTATAATTAACCTAGTGCACTGTCTTATATTGTACCCAGCGCACTGTCTTATATTGTACCTAGCGCACTGTCTTATATTGTGCCTAGTGCACTGTCTTATATTGTGCCTAGTGCACTATCGCATGTGGAAGAAATTAAGAGGTAATTGAAAACAATACATATTGCATGTTAATATTTACACCATTAACACATAGAACAAAGTATTTTTATATACATTTTAATTTGTCTTCTTCATAAATCCCCCCCCCCCCCACGACATGCACTGCACTGCACTGCACTGTTGCTATCGGAGGGCACATCACACGTTTTCCAGACGATGCCCTCAGCTATTGTTGTTGTTATTTACACTATTAACACAAAGAACAAAGTCTTTTTATATACATTTTAATTTGTCTTCTTCATAAATCCCCCCCCCCCCACGACATGCACTGCACTGCACTGCACTGTTGCTATCGGAGGGCACATCACACGTTTTCCAGACGATGCCCTCAGCTATTGTTGTTGTCTAGCCGGGCACTAGCTGGCTGTTGAATATATATTGACGTAATCTTAAATAATAAAATGTTTAAAAAATTGTAATCGACCCCGACGAGATTCGAACTCGCAATCTTCTGATCCGAAGTCAGACGCCTTATCCGTTGGGCCACGGGGCCTCCCATATATGATTTTGAAAATAATTATTTTTTAAAAATAAATATTTACACCTTCTGCATTAAATATAATAATAAATGTTTTGTATAGTTTTAAGAAAATTATAATATCCTTTGGCTTTTTGTTTAAGAGTGATCAGAGCTTGAAATGTTTCTACGGTTAGATACGTGCAAACCTAAGCTGATGGGCGCGGCAAATTCGGATTAGTTCTAAGACAAACTGGTCACCCAATTTTTAAAAATAATAAAATTTGATACTCACTACAATTACAATCGACGCTAATATTACAAGAATATCATAATCATATCATAAGTAATAATGACTTTTAACGTTTGGTAAATTAAATAAATATCATGACATCTACGCTGACATGACTACTGCTATCACAGATGTTGGCCAATGAGTACATCCTTACTGCTACCACAGCTGTTGGCCAATGAGTACTTCGTTGCTGCTACTATAGCTGTTGGCCAATGAGTACATCCTTACTGCTACCACAGCTGTTGGCCAATGAGTACATCGTTACTGCTACTATAGCTGTTGGTCAATGAGTACATCGTTACTGCTCCTAAAGCTGTTGGTCAATAAGCACGGTAGCACGTCTCTAAATCGAATTTGTTAATGAGAAATAAATCTATCCTCTTAATTTAACCCTTTAAGTTCTTGAAGTCAATGACGATGATGTTTGCCACATTCAATTTTTAATTAGATTAATCATTTATTTTCTTTATAATAAAAAAAAAATTATATGAAATTTAAAAAAAAATATATATATATCTGTAGCAAATTATAACTACCTAGTAGACGACTTTTGTAAAGGTGTTAATTAAATGCGACTACGATTTTATGCTAAACCTGCAACCTCTAGTTCATTCTTTACACACACATTAAATTATAGCTTGCAATCAATTAAAACTAAACATTTTCTATATGAGCTGTTGAAGTTTGTAACAACTTCTTAACTGGACGGTAATTTGAAACTAATCTCCAAAAGTAAGATATTTTAAAAAAAAAAAGAAAAAAAGTAATGATTATTCTTAGTTTTAGTAAGATAGTTCGTCTGTCCAAAGTCGATCATGACCATTCCAATTTAAAGAAGTAGCAAGCCTGATTTAAACCAAAAAAAAGTTTCTCTATATAAACATCGAGATGGCGTAGGTGGGGGAGGGGGGGGGGGAGGGGGTGGCTGTGCTAGACAACATACATGTAAGGCACAACTACATAAATTGTTAGTTTATATGTGTTTGTTCATAGTTAGCATTGCTGGGGGGGGGGGGGGGGGGGGGGGGGGGGGGAGGGGTTGGCTGTGCTAGACAACATACATGTAAGGCACAACTAAATAAATTGTTAGTTTATATGTGTTTGTTCATAGTTAGCATTGCGATTAATCGGGTTTCTCGGACCGGTCAGTGGGTACAAATGGTAATAGGGGGGTTGGGTTTGTTTTTTGTTTTTTTTTGGGGGGGGGGGAATTCAAAATCAGGTTAGGTAAAAAGGAAAACGAGCGAAACAAACAAAGTCTGGGAAGATCAGGAAAACATGTACTCGTTCATCTTGCCTTCCTCTCGGATACTAAACATTTGAGCCAGGTGTTGATTTTTATTTAATTATGTTTTTACCGTTGTTTGTTCGCTGGAGAAGGCTTTTTGCCGACACGTTAGTTTGTTTTCTTAAGTTCTTTTTTTTTATTCTTCTTCTTCAGGTCCCCCCATGCGTTTTGTTTCGCCCATCTCTTTCATTGGATATAAAAATTTACTCTCTGTATACCTGACACAAGCTACGTAACCACGACATGCTCTCGTCCCTAGTCTATCCTTCTAATCATCCATAGCCGCGCATCTGTCGCTAGCTTTCATCCACAGCATTTATCCACAGCATTTATCCCACAGTAAAATGTACTCTTCTTCTTTCATTAGGCCTCCCTGTCACGGTAAATATAGACTAAAAATAGACTTAAATTCTGTCTAGTGTTGTATAGTTTTCTTTTTCTTCCCTGTTGACTTTTGTCTTTGAGAATGTGTTGTGTCCGTGTCTCATCTTTTACCCAACATGCATCTCCCTCCACCTAAACACACGTGCTTTTGATTTTGCACGCGAGCCGGGATCGGTTTGTTGGGCTCTGGGTGCTTTTTCAATTAAGTCCGCCCCACTCGCTAACAGAATGTGGTCCATTGGTCGGGCATTTTTAATTTATTTTTTTTTTAACAGAGTCTGGTGAAAAGATTTCTTGTAGCCGAGGGAAGATTTTCTCACAGGGTTTTTTTTTTTAAGGGTGGGGGGTGGGGGGTGGGGGTGGGGAGCGGCGCTGTGATGGCTGCAAAGAAAATATACATAGGTGGATTGTTGACGGTAAATAAAGTGACTGGTGTGTTCAGATCTTTGTACCACAGGGCGGCTGTCTGTTTTGGGTTGGTCTCCCACCCCCCCAGCCACCCCCCTCCCCCGCCAACCCGGGGATGTATGGTGGGAAAAGTTTATGATGGGGAAGATGGTGGGTCATAGATGGATTCAAAAGTGTGCCCCCATCCTATCGAGTGTGTAGCGGGTAGTGCCATACTATTGAATGAGTAGTGGTGTAGTTCTGCCATCATAGTATCGAGTGTTCAGTTGCGTGTGTCGTGTTATCGAATGTGTAGTGGGGGTGTGTCGTCATATTGAGTGTGTAGTGGGGGTGTGTCATCATATCGAGTGTGTAGTGGGGTGTGTCATATTGAATGTGTCGTGGGGGTGTGTCATCACATCGAGTGTGTAGTGGGGGTGTGTCATCATATCGAGTGTGTAGTGGGGGTGTGTCAGCATAAAGAATGTGTAGTGGGGCTGTGTCATCATATAGAATGTGTAGTGGGGGTGTGTCATCATATAGAATGTGTAGTGGGGTGTGTCATCATATAGAATATGTAGTGGGGGTGTGTCATATAGAATGTGTATTGGGGGTGTGTCATCATATAGAATGTATAGTAAGTGGGTGTCATCATATAGAATGTGTAGTGGGTGTGTGTCATCATATAGATTGTGAGTGGGGTGTCATCTTATAGAATGTGTACTGGGGGTGTCATCATATAGAATGTGTAGTGGGGGTGTGTCATCATATAAATGTGTAGTGGGAGTGTCATCATATAGAATGTGTAGTGGGGTTGTGTCATCATATAAATGTGTAGTGGGCGTGTGTCATCATATTGAATGTGTAGTGTTGGTGTGTCATCATATTGAATGTGTAGTTGGGGTGTATCATCATATTGAATGT